AGTTTATCCTCGTAATTATCAAAATAAACATTGATTTTTTGTTGTTGTTGTTAATTATCAAAATGAACATTGATTTTTTGTTGTTGTTGTTAATTATCGAAATGAACATTGATTTCTGTTGTTAGGCATAAAGATGCTGTGCTCATTGTGTGTATCAAAATTCGATTACCCTTCACACTTACCACTGAGACAATAGTAAGATAAACATTGATTGGTTGAATAAAGCATAAAATTGACTATCCGGGGTTTTAAAAGCAAGGTATGTATTTCCTTAGCCACGATTGCCAAGGTAACACAATAGGCGCCATCATTGCAAGTTTGATGTGATTCAGAATAATATTTTTATGACAGATTTAAGGATCTTGCAATTCTTACAAGTTTACATAAACGTAAATTCAGCTTGACCTGTGACCTATAATAAATGTATCTCTGTCGTGGAAAAGGCTCAACTTTCTCGCAATACATACTACTCAGGATATTTTGTTAAACATCCAATCATCATTTTATACTGATGGATAGGGTTTGTAGTAGGCGTGTCATGTCCCCATTCTTGCAAATTTCTACCTCTTGTTAATGTAAAACTTATTGACGTGCTGTAGTTGCGAGTCTTACCCCAGATTTTCAAACTAAAAATTCACCCCAAACTACTTTTAAATGTTTGAAAGTTAACAGTTATATTGAATGTGCTTAGATTAGGCTGTAAGTAATTGAAGTGGCCATAAGACGTCTTCTCCATGTTATAATGTAAACGAGCACCAAGACTGGAATGAAAATAATTAGTGGTGTTTTAAAGCTCACTAGCAAAGATATTTGCACTAGGGATCGGTATGTACAGAGGTGTACAACGTTGGTTTCACGAGGATAGGCCGATCGCGGCCCAATGGTTAGCGTTCCGAACTGTGGTGCTGGAGTTCAGTGTTTTAGGTGCCCTTACCACAAAATGAAAATAAAATTCAAACCCTTCATTTTGGGTCGGTGGGTGCGTCACAAGAGTGGCGGTCAAACCCCACTATTCGATCTGATATTAACGCGAAAGGTGGCGATAGCTGGTGTTGTCCAAACGCTTTTCCTCTGGTCTGTCACTTTAAAATTATGACAGCTAAAATAGAAAGATCTTGTGCAGCTTTGTGCGAAATTCAACGAAACAAACAAAAAAATTGGCGGGGTGGCGTGCATTTACTTCATTCGCGGGCACTAAAGCAGAAGCAAAGGAAAAAAAATTGAACTATCTGTCAAACTCGTAAAAATGGGTAAATGAATAATGTAATGGGTTTGAGTAACCCTCTGAGACATATCTCAGAATCTCTGAAAATATCCTGATGATTAGAGTTTTTAAGTTTACGTCGTTAACAAACAAACAGACATATAGGCCCAAGGTTGTTTACAGTATAGGTCCCCCCCAAAAAAAAACAACAACAGAAAACTTTGTGCTCCACTCGGTCTTCCATAGAATTAATTATACACTCCAACAGCACCGTTATATCCTTTACCGGGCCTCTGGTTCATCGATTTTCATGAAAAATATTTCTTGATATATTCAGTTATCATTAGATTGGGATACATATGGCGAAAACGTGGTCTTCAAAACAATTTACCATTACAGTATCCGGAAACATATGGCGAAGATGTGGACTTCAGAACACTATACTATTACAGTACCCGGAAATATATGGCGAAGATGTGGCCTTCAGGACACTTTACCATTACAGTACCCTACTTTTCATTTCTCCCACGTGCTAAGGTTGTTATATTGAACAATATGTTAATCTCAGTTGGTCATGAATGAAGAAATGCTTAAAAGCAACACCAGGGAAAGTTTTAATGTTACATTTCCCCTAACAAATAACTATATTATATATACAACCTGTATCAAGTAACCCTACTCCTAGAGGCATACATGTTTTTACCAGTATAGAGTTGTTGTTTTTAGCTTACTCGCTTAGTTTTTAAATAATAATTTACGGTGTGCATATCGATTATAACTAACACCTTTTTTGTTAGTATAGAGTTTATTTCAACTTACTCGCTTAAGTCACACACCCGGGGAGGGAGGGGGATAAGTAGCTGGTCTGAGGGATTATGGCGCTAAAATCGAGTTTCTATACCTGCGATAGGCAGAGCAGAAATTGCGTACCTCTGTGTTGAATAAACTAGCTAACTGGTTTTGTCTTAATAAACATGCACGGTGTACACCTAGATTATAATCAACACAGTCATACTTGTACAGTCAGTACAGTCATACTTGAGTTGATATTCTAAGTTCTTTACATTATAAGGGGACTGGGTTGTTGTAAATCCAAGGGTCCATGGTCTGTGACTCGTTTTCTCAAAATCGCTAAAACATTAATGATCAGATCCAACTTTTTGATTAGGATAGTTCAAAAGTTAGCGGTGGGTACTGTAGAATAGTTGCCGGTGGGTACTGTTGACGAGTTGCCGGTGGGTACTGTTGACGAGTTGTCTTCTCTCTAGTCTGTCAATTCAAAATTAGGAACGGCTAGCGCAGGTACCTCTTGTGTAGCTTTGCTTGAACATTCGAAACAAACGATTAGGTGACGTACCAATCCCCAGGTGGCTCAGCGGAAAGTCCGTGGACTTATAACACTAAAAATTGGATTTCGATACTCGTAGAACACAGATCGTCCATTATGTAATTTTGTGGTTAATCAAAAACAAATAAGCTGACGTACTCCCTGTTTAACTCACGTCAAAGACGTAAGGACCCCCGGAAATTAACGTGGAGGGTCATATCCAAACACCGACCCACAGTTATCACTTTCGGTGGGCCCTTAGGGCACAAGCTAGGTTTGGTGGTAATCGGTCCAGCGTTTCACCATTTATAAACGGTCAACACACACAAATAAAAATTTTGGTCAAATAATGGTTTAAGTATGGTGTTTTTATTTAGCGAACTCCTAGTACAATAAAATAAAACGTGTACAACTTTATCCATCCCATGGACAAACAATGAGACATATAATCTTACCTTTGAATCAGATTATACATCGCACGAAAAAGACTACATGTAACCATAGTTTCGCAGGGGGATTTTGTAACGAATACATGTTATGAAACGCTTCATAAATGATTTACCTTGAGAATATTGATTGGTGTGTGTTTTCTTGTTGTTTAATTTCAATATGCATAAAGAATTAGAACTGGAAAATTTAACCTGAACAGCACTCTACGCCCACTTGGACTAAACGGCATGGGTGTAGGTATGACTTTCCCTAACTCTGAACTATTGATCAGAGGGCGGGCCATTTATCCAATAATGCTGACCGCCATAGGGTTTCTGTCCGAATTTATGAACTGAATAACGTGATTGATTATCACTATCATACAGCACCCACAGCTAGAAGTGCTTAAAGTGATCAATGACATCATATCTCGATCCAAGCCCGGTCCAATAAGCCAACAGAATTATCTGAAGGCTTTTCACAGACACATCTTTCAGGAATTATAATTTTCATACATTTTTTATGTTGTTGCTATTGTCATGGGTTACAACTAAAGAAATTCGTTAAAGCTGTATTTCTGGTGTGAAGGCAACACAACAAGCGTCTTGTAATCATGATACAACAGGATTGGATTCAAGATATTTTAGAAGGAGCGTGTGTGAAACTCTTGGAACAAAATATAAGATGAACATAAAATAATTACTATTCTGAGAGCTTCCTAAAATAAGTAACAAAGTCTCTATATTTATCTTTTTTTAAAGGTGGCGTCTATAGAAAAGGGGAGGTATTGACCCCCTGTATCCGACCTTGTACAAACATCAAAAACGAAAAGCAACTGCTAAAGTAAAAATGAGTTTTGATATGCAAAGCAACATTTTTTCCCTTCTCAAATATGGGCTGAACTTTAGGGCAATGGGTAGGTTATATGAATGACAGCCAAATCTCACAATTCAGTTTGACAAGAGTAGCCCAAAGGTTGGCAGTGGGTGGTATTGACTAATTGCCTTTCCTTTTATGTATCATAACCCTTGTGAAGCTTTGGTTAAAATCCAACAGACGAACAAGTTCTCGTGTCTACTGGTTAACCGAAACAAAACTAATTATTTTAGTTGCTATATGTACGTTCTACACTGACTTGTTTAGAACAAAGAAGCCACGAATTATATGTATATATTTTAATTATGGTTTGCAGAAACTTTATAGTATCGCCTACTTTTTCCTGTTGTTTTTCGCGTTTGCAAAGCTCTATGTGTGACTCACAGATTTCAGATACTGTACAACTAAACATGACAAAGTTGTGTTTTTATTTGGTTTAATATATGATTTCAGGTGACGTTTATTTATGGTCGATGGTATAAATTTGGAAATCAAATTTAGAGTCATCATATAGTCATTTAAACCTGCTAGCAACAACATACATACACAGCTAGTGATTGAAAATGTATAACTACCTTCTCCAATATATCTGGTTACAATGTCAGCGCCATCTGTTATGAAATAAGTTACATAGATATTAAAGTTTCAAAACAGTCAGGGGATAAAAGGAAAATAACACATACTCATACAAAAAAATCACAAAATGTCCGAAAATGACAACACAAAAAAAGATGCCTTTTTATTTTTTCTTTGTTTCGTTTGTTTTCTGAGTAAATATACTTGTTCTAAAATGAATTGCACAAGGCCTAACAGTAGTTGTTAAATTCAAATAGATAAAATGTTCTTGTTTTCGCACAAAGGTGCGCAATGTGTCATGAGCACTCTTTCCACCTCGGGGAATCAAACCTTGGATTATAGCGTTGTAGGTCCGTAAACTTACCGCTGACCCACCGGGGGGGGGATAAGTATATAATAGATTGCAGGGATTTCTTGCCTTGAACTTTTCACTTGATCACATGGTTTTAACTCATTTTGAATTTTTAGATATTGAGAACGCGAGGTTTAAGTATGAAAGGTAATATTGAAAATAGATGTTTACATGAACACGTCTGAAAATAACGAAAATCTTATAAAATATTCAAGATGCTTTCATACAGTAAAAATGATCTTGTTTGAAAAGTCTGTTTTCTTAGTTTCGCGCAAGGCTACTCTATGGCAATCTTCGCTAGCCGTCCCTACTTCTGAAGAGATAGACTAGAGAGAATACAACTAATGAACACCAACCACTGTTAACACTGTGGGTACTTTTTTTTTTATCGACGAATAGTTGGATTAACTGCGTAATAATAATGTCCCCACTGCTGTAAGGGCGAGCACATTCGGTGATGAGAATCGAACCGTTGACCCAAAGATTACAAGTCGAGTGTCTTAATCACCAGGGCATGCCAGACCTTATACTTTATCTAAGACATATTTTTAATCCAATTTAAGTTAATTTAACTTATAAAATTCATGTGGTCCTAAACATTTATCTTATTATGATGATCATTTCAGGTGCACTGCCGAAACTTCAACTACTCCACGCTGGACCGTCACAGAAGTACGAAAGAACGAAAATTGCAAGTGGCGGCCTCACGCGGATTGAAAGAAGCAAGAATTTATTTCCACCTTTGCGGAAAAAATGAAGCAAAACAGTAAAAGAGGTGAGGCAGACGAAATAACGTTAACATATGCGATAAAAATTGGTATACTCGTAGCACGCACCTAAAGCAAATAAATCAGTGCTAACTTCTACGGAACAAAAAATTTGGAACAAAAAATTATAAAACAAAGTTCTTCCTATTCCTTTAATTTCGATGCTTCATAACTTGCGGATCCTTATCTCCGATCATAATACGTGTGTAAGTGTTTGTTTGTTTTGAATTTCACACAAAGCTACACATGGGCTATCTGCGCTAGCCGTCCCTAATTTAGCAGTGTAAGACTAGAGGGAAGGCAGCTAGTCATCACCACCCACCGCCAACTCTTGGGCTACTCTTTTACCAACGAATAGTGGGATTGACCGTCACATTATAACGCCCCCACGGCTGATAGGGCGAGTGTGTAAGTGAAGGAAATAATTGCGTTTGTAAAACAAAAAGTTATGAAGCACTGAGTGAAAAACTTGTTAACAGTTTACTAATCACACTGTTTTTTTAATATTGAACACAACGTCTTTGTTCACAGAAGCTTCTAGAAAAAGCTAGTAAAAAAACATACAGGATATTTTACCTAAATGTTTTTTTATTTAAACTCGTAAAGTTGCGTTATTTACACTGTTCGGATATCCACTGGAAACTGACACGCCTACTTGGAAGCTGCGCGTGATGCACGTGCACAGCGTATAAAAATATACTTCTGACTCTCTCTTTTCGTACCTACGTTATGATGTAATAATCACACCACGGTGCTCGAAGCTGTGTTACGATGGTGATAGGAACGAACTCTATCGTCAGAAAACACGAAGATACAGTTAAACTGTGTTGCAACAATAAAGGAAATGTAGAAGGTAAGTTTAAAGATGGAAATGTTTAGTAAGTATTGCTGGGCCAACAGTAGAGCATGCTAGATTCTTGAAAGGCAGCCAAAATAAGGACAAGCAGGCTGGCTGACGAAACATGTAGCGTACTTAATCCTTTTTTAACTGCCTATCTTCAGCTAAACATCGTGATATGCACAAGCAACGTGTTTAGCCAATAGTCAGATAGTAAACATATAGATATGTATATATAAACATTATTTTATAGAGGATTTAGGCAGAGACTTCTTGATGAACAAAATTGAAATTGACAATAACTGCCTAGTTCAGAGTGACACGTGCAGGGAAAGTCTTTAGGACTAGCCTACAAATGTAGACTTCCTTTTACAATAACTGCCTAGTTCAGAGTGACACGTGCAGGGAAAGTCTTTAGGACTAGCCTACAAATGTAGACTTCCTTTTCCAATAACTGCCTAGTTCAGAGTGACACGTGTAGGGAAAGTCTTTAGGACTAGCCTACAAATGTAGACTTCCTTTTACAATAACTGCCTAGTTCAGAGTGACACGTGTAGGGAAAGTCTTTAGGACTAGCCTACAAATGTAGACTTCCTTTTCTACTTTTGAGAATTAGTCCTCCAATACTTTTTCCACAATTGTTTCTCCGAACTAGGCAGTTGCTGCTCATTTCACCTATGTTTGTTCGTATGTATAAAATTTTTTTTGATACTCTTTCTTACGATATTATTCAGACGTGCCTACGTGTGCGTGTATGTGACACGATTTTGTTTGTTACCACTAGACATGACTGTGGGAGAAAGTTCACCAATACCACTGAAGCCGACACTGGCTAGAGCACTGTCTGCTAGAAGTCGTCACCAACGGCCGCTTCATCAACGAAGATGTCAGACTGACCAAGTCTTGGGCGCTCTGTGGAAGATGGCTGAGCCACAGTACAGCGTGTGGAGTTCTGCAACGACGGAAAACGATTCGGAAGTTGAAGAAGTGGACGCTCTTTTAACGGTGAGATGAAATAACTGAAACATGTTTTAGAGATAAGATAAAATAAAAACACTTCATTAAGTTTTTGACACAGCGGAACAGCCAATCAGATACAGATAGACGAAAGATAAACGGACAAATGTGTATATCTATATTTATTTATTTATTTTTATCGATAGTTAGTGAGACAAACAAACAGAAATACGTACACATAATCACGCAATCAGATAGACAGATAGAAGTTAGAGATTTATCTTCGTCTGTTAAGCCATACACGTAGCTGTTCGCTTCTCATATCTGTATTCCGAAAACATTTGAGTTTGTCAGACTTTCTTAGATGTTGTTAATCTACTTTTATGATGTTATTAGCTGTGGTTAATCTACTTTTATGATGTTATTAGCTGTGGTTAATCTACTTTTGTGATGCTACTAGCTGTGGTTCATCTGCTTTTGTGATGTTGCTAACTGTGGTCCATATACTTTTGTGATGTTGCTAACTGTGGTTAATCTACTATTGTGATGTTACTAGCCGTTGTTCATTTGCTTTTGTGATGTTACTAGCCGTTGTTCATTTGCTTTTGTGATGTTATTAGCCGTTGTTCATTTTCTTTTGTTATGTTACTAGCCGTTATTAATTTGGTTTTGTGATGTTACTAGCCGTTATTAATTTGGTTTTGTGATGTTACTAGCCGTTGTTAATTTGCTTTTGTGATGTTACTAGCCGTTGTTAATTTGCTTTTGTTATGTTACTAGCCGTTGTTCATTTGCTTTTGTTATGTTACTAGCCGTTGTTCATTTGGTTTTGTGATGTTACTAGCCGTTGTTAATTTGGTTTTGTTATGTTACTAGCCGTTGTTCATTTGATTTTGTGATATTGTTAGCTGTGCTTCATTTGCTTTTGTGATGTCGGTAGCTGTGCTTCATTTGCTTTTGTGATGTCGGTAGCTGTGGTTAATCTACTTTTTTGATGTTGCTAACTGTGATTAATTTACTCTTGTGATGATACTAGCTGTGGTTCATTTGCTTTTGTGATGTTACTAGCTGTGGATCATCTGCTTTTGTGATGTTACTAGCTGTGGATCATCTGCTTTTGTGATGTTACTAGCTGTGGATCATCTGCTTTTGTGATGTTGCTAACTGTGGTTAATCTACTATTGTGATGTTACTAGCCGTTGTTCATTTGCTTTTGTGATGTTACTAGCTGTAGCTCATCTGTTTTTGTGATGTTGCGAGTGAGATGGAGAATTAACTATATTTTTGTATTCTCGACTACTCATATAAATGTTTTATCAATTCAAGTTCAATTTGTTGTACGTTTTAAGGTACATTATTATCTACAATTTTAACAGACAGTCTTATCTTATACCTTTTCCAATTTCCTAGATTTTGTCCCGAAAAAAAATTAGAATTTGGTAATCTGATAAAAATAGTTTCAATTTGGCCTGTACTTGTATGTGCAAAATATATATAATTGGCTCACATTGAAATGTTTACTACTGAAGTTTTTATGTGTGTATTGGCATACGTCAAATACCGTATATTTTACAATGAAAGCCGACTAAGCATGCCTGTAATACAATCAGGATTATCACATTAACACAAAGTCAAAACACAGTAAATTTCATCCTCACAAAGTCTTTATCTTTTTGTACCTTTAATAAATGGGAACGAATTAGAAATTGGAGTGCAGTTTTATTGGAATTTAATGGTTTCTACACTTTTTCTACTCGGAACAGCCTTATGATAAAGCACAGAGTGAACAGAATAGAGATTCTACACGAATAAATGATTCTAACAGACTACCAAGTACTTCTTCACTGGGTGATGAGGACATTTCTTCCGACCCTAAACAGTTAGTATCATTTAGATAAAATTTATATTAACTTTCTATGTGGCATTCTTTTTTATTTTAGCAAATGTATAGTAGCTATTTTAAAGTATAAAACATTACATTTTACGTTTAGTTACTTTTAAAACAGCGTATTTGATATTATTTAATTAAATCTATATTATCATAAATTTCTACACATTTGACTGCCACTAGATGACAGCAGTATGTAAAGCTCAGAGACGTCATGATGTTTATGGAAAAGCTCTTGTATTATTGTATATCCTACACGTATCTTTTAAATAGTATACTTTAGCTCCTTCCCGAACTCTTCGGTTCCGAGGCTACGTTTAAGAATAACTTTTCAAACGTTCAAAATAATTTTTAGTTACTAACTTGTCTTGTCAAATTGTGTTGTAACTAAACCAGCTTGTGTGGACTTTGATGAAAAGGGGGCAATTATTTAAAGCTCTGGACACAACTGTGATAATCAACAGTATAACGAGCATTTTTATATACATCTAACTTGTTTTAATATATTATTTTAAACTGGACTGTGTGCTATTTGTATATTGTTGAAATTTATCGCCAACAAGTCACAGAAACCTACTGTAGAGAATCTGACCTATATACAAAACCTGACAGCTTCTTCGTTAAAAACTCATGTGTATTATAATCTGAATGATTCAAGCAAGACTACATACGCGTGAAGACTAAATCTCATAAAAATTGTTTTCAACATAAGCTGTTAAAATCGAACATTACAATTAAATAAACTAAGCCAACTTTGTATTCCAAACAGTTTATAATTATTCCCATCTAACTGTAATATTTCTGATATCAGCAATGCAGAAAAGAAATGTTGGTTGGGTTCACAAACGTAAAGTACCATATAGTAGACATTTTATCTACCTTAACTAATGGCAACACAGGCTGAACGTTTATCTCTATGGTTTTAACCTTCTCGTAATCATAACATCGGAGTAATGTCATCAGTTTTTAATACATACTTTATAAAACATTTCACGAAGTTCAGTGTACATTCTTTAAAGTGTGCATAATGTTATGAAGTTCAGTGGACACTCTCTAAAGTGTACACAACGTTATGAAGTTCAGCAACCACTCTTTAAAGTGTACACAATGTTATGAAGTTCAGTGACCACTCTCTAAAGTGTACACAATGTTATGAAGTTCAGCAACCACTCTCTAAAGTGTGCACAATGCTATGAAGTTCATGACCACTCTCTAAAGTGTACACAACGTTATGAAGTTCAGCAACCACTCTTTAAAGTGTACACAATGTTATGAAGTTCAGTGACCACTCTGTAAAGTGTACACAATGTTATGAAGTTCAGCAACCACTCTTTAAAGTGTACACAATGTTATGAAGTTCAGCAACCACTCTCTAAAGTGTGTACAATGCTATGAAGTTCATGACCACTCTCTAAAGTGTGCATAATGTTAAGAAGTTCAGTGACCACTCTTTAAAGTGTACACAATGTTATGAAGTTCAGCAACCACTCTCTAAAGTGTGCACAATGCTATGAAGTTCATGACCACTCTCTAAAGTGTGCACAATGTTATGAAGTTCAGTGACCACTCTCTAAAGTGTACACAACGTTATGAAGTTCATGCCCACTCTCTAAAGTGTACACAACGTTATGAAGTTCAGTGACCACTCTCTAAAGTGTACACAACGTTATGAAGTTCAGTGACCACTCTCTAAAGTGTGCACAATGTTATGAAGTTCAGTGGACACTCTCCCAAACAGAAAATGATTTGAGTAGCTTTATTTAGGGACAGACTTGATATGCTGATGATTGGTGGAAAGCATACTGAATGTTTTCTCTAACACAACTCTCTTCAAACTTCTAACAATAAAACCTATGATTCTCAATGTGCCTTTGGTAAAATTTTGTTGCCCTGGGGCAAGTAGTTTTTAAGACATAATAATTTTAAATGTTGGGTTTTTCTTTATAACCCCCCCCCCCACGTATATCACCCACCGGTTACCTAGGGTTACCAGAGCGCATTTACAATCAAATGTTATGTGAACTAACATTTCTTTAGTTAGCCCACTAACGGTAAAGTTACTGATTTAAGCTTTATTTGCACCGTTTATTTCTTATTAGCCTGTTATTTCTCACAACATTTCGACTGAAACTTGAAACGAGTATTATCTTCATTTCGAGATATGTATATGTAAATGGAAACGAGTGTTTAACGTGCCTATTATGAGTCAATATCCTTACATATACCTTCAACTATAAAGTTGCTAGAAAGAAGACAAACGTGACCTGAAAATTATGTACAATGTGATCATCTACGTACTGATTTTAGCTCTAAGTTAGACGTCAGTTTAAAACTAATTGTAAATATTAAAGAAAATAATATATTTATATATATTAAAAATATATGTTCCTGTATGCATTACCCGTGTAAGAGTTTATTTGCCATGGACAGGGGGCGAGTGTTGAACCTCTGGTAGAATTCTGAATTTCGGATCTGGGTTCGAATACATGCGATACTACAAAATATAAAATATTTCTCACACTTTAAGCTGTGGATGCTTTTTAATTAACGTGTATGATAAATTGGTGCTGACTAGCTGCCATCTCTCTGGTCAATAGTTAAAAAGTAGGGACGGCGGCAGGTAACCTTAGTAGCTTTGCCACAAATACAAATGTTATGGACAGATAAACTTTGATCAGTTTAAACAGTTCTTTTAGGAAATATTCAAAATAAGTTTAATTATTTCTACATCACAGTTTAAGTTTAATTATTTCTACATCATCACAGTTTAAGTTTAATTATTTCTACATCACAGTTTAAGTTTAATTATTTCTACATCATCATAGTTTAAGTTTAATTATTTCTACATCACAGTTTAAGGCAGGAATTGGATAGTATTTCAGTCTTTATTGCTTCACGAGTTCAAGCATGTTTTAGGTAATGTTTAATTATCATTGCTGCGAGTGTAGGCAGGTTTTAGGTAATATTTAGTTATTGCTACAAGTTTAGGTAAGTTTTAGGTAATGGTTAGTTATCATTGCTACGAGTGTAGGTAGGTTTTAGGTAATATTTAGTTATCATTGCTGTATGAGTTTAGGCAGGTTTTAGGTAATATTTAGTTATCATTGCTGTATGAGTTTATGCAGGTTCTAGATAGTATTTTATTAATTATTTCAACAAGGCTTCAGGCAGTGTTGAATTATTATTGCATTCCGAATTTAGACATCGTATATTTATTTGTAGGGGTTGCGGAAGTGTATACTTGTTATTGCAGTACGAGTTTCGGAAGTGAACAGTTATAGCATTCGGGCTTACGCCGGCTTTAAGTATTTCGTATTTTCTGAAAAAAATCGTAAGCAATTACTCTGTGCAATATTTCAGCACAACTTATTAAAAATATAATTTATGATAGACGATAATTAATGATGCGTTCACGAGGGCCAAACATGATCGTTATTAAAAAAACAAAATGTTAATATATATATATTTACCAATCAGTTAACCAAGAAATATAACATTTACATTGCCTAAACAGCTATTAGCTACAAACATCTTCATTACGCTTACATATATATATTTCTAGGCGATAATACTTAGCCAATAAAGAAAAATTCTGTGACTAAAAAAGCCACAATACCTTATGGCTGCTATGATGACACGAGTTACATTTATAGCACATGCGTGGTAAATCTGAATTGATGATTGAATTCTGCTCGTTTTGTTGTGCCTGACTGGTAATTCTAACATATATATATATATATATATATATATATATATATA